GAGTTCACATGATAATTCAGAGGTCCTCGCAGAATATTTAGCAGTCCCTCAATCGATCCACAGAGCTGCACCCTTCGGATCTGCACTATGACTTTGATGGCAACACTGCAAAATTTTACAGTTTTGTTGTTCCCCTTTGTTTGTGAATCTCAATCGATACTCTGTAGACTTATTGGCAACATCTTCTATTGTTTCAACTGGCACTTGTTAAAGAGTTGCAGATCAGAGGAGACTTGAGGACAGCAGTCTTACACAAACATACGTGCTCAAAACGTTCTTCATACCAGCTAATGGACAAACAATGATATGAAAAATTCCTGAAATACCAACAGTTGTTAACTTTAAGATGATGATCAACCCGTCAGTGCTAGTTTGCTCTTCTTGATAATGTTTTTGATGTAATTTAATAATTAGATTGTCCTTTCCGGAAATCATAATATATACACTTTGATAATAACCACAGGGTTGATACAATTCGAAACAAACAAATACAAATCGATACAAATCGATAAATTCGATACAATTCGATACACAGTCAAAAACGGACACAAAACATGAGCCCCCCCTTATATTCCCATACCAGCACACATAATCTAGTCTACATTATTCATTATTTACTCTCACAATTTGGAACAAGTTGCTTTGCAACAAGTTGTTTATGGATTTGTGCTGTTTGCTGTACGCTTTGATTTGTAAATTATTATGAACCTAATCGAGAAAAACTAAAGCTTTTAGTATCAGGGGTCGACCGGGATCAGCTTAATCTCGGCCGGGACAGAGACTGGGATTTTCACCATATTTCTATGTTGAAATGGGACATTTTAAGCAACCTTCGTATAAAGGGTTCATTGACCAATATAATAAGTACTAACTACAAGTTCATTCATGATAGGATTATGAAGTTGGTATGCCTTCACAGTCAGTTATGATGAAAGTGCTCTCAAGAGTGAGGGGCGAGGGCAAAGTAAGCTCGGGCATGTCAGGACTCAGGCCTCAGGGCAAGCCCAACGTATTCAAGGAATATTTAGCGCCTATCCCACAGATAACTCTGAGGAGGACCCTTCTGAAGATACTATTGTCCCTGTGAGAAAACAGGTAACCGACTACCTCAAAGAAAAATGACTGCCTCTAAAGACAGATCCCTTGATAGACTACTAGTACTGGGCTACAAATAGAGACAATTAATACAACCTTCTTTCCCTATAATGAGAAAATAAAATACTTGTCTGCACCACCGGCATCAACCTCTGTCAAAAGACTGTTTTCTACTGCCGGAAACATGGTAGGAACCAACCGTTTATCTTTGAAACCTGAAAACTTAGAGTGCAACTTCTTCTTGAAGTACAATTTTCGGTCTTTAGGAATCAACAGCCGGATTGATTTTTCTACACCAGATGCAATTGGGTTTTCCGGCCCAAACAGTGGCACAAGTAATAATTTGCCACCTGCTAGAGAACTAAGGTCTAAGAGAAGCAGAGGATGACAACATTGATATCAACATCGTTATATATCTTCTGATGAAGATAAGCATGAAATCTAATCAGTCCTTCGAGTTTCGATTTTCATTTCGATTAGTTCGATTCTTAACAGTCGTTTCATTTGTCTAAGTCAAAGTAATAAAATATGAATTTGAAGCTAAATTGTATTAAAAAGATCGAAATTCTGTTTTAAAAATCCCGGCTAATATCCCGGCCAAAACAGTAATCCCGGCCGGGACCGGGACAAAAACACCAAATGAAGATAAGACTGATAAAAGTAATTTTAATTAACGACTAGTATTACTATTACCTCATCGGACATAATTATCACGGACATTACTTTCACGCTGAAGACCTTAGCGTGAATAATTATGTCACATGTGTACATTGTACAAGATAGGTTAAGGTGCTAAGTTACTAAGTTAATAATATCAAATTTCAAAGTCACTATTATACTTTGGTATTGGCGAGAAGCTACTATATTAGATCCAATTACCACGGAATTCTGTAGTTAAAGCAGTTAAGTTGTAAAATATAAACACGACCATCTCTGATGAAGCTTTACTGGCTGGATGCAAAGAAAAGGATTTAATTCAAAATATGACTGCTAGCTCATAAGTCCTTGAGAAGACATATTGTTAAGTTAGTTAGCTAGCTTAAGGGGGGGGGGTTCACCCTGATTTTTTTGTGAAACTTAGTTTCGAGATAGCAGTTGACCAACAAACTAGGACCGGTGACCGAACTTTTGAGGGGGTCCCGGACCCCAACCGCCAAACGGTGCCTGCGGGGCAGCCACGCCCATATTTGATCCAAATTAGGCCCAATTTAGCCAAATACCCTGAACATGCCCAAAACCCAGATTTTAGGTGCTCTACTTGTAGCTAGTGGTCCCCTGAACTCGTATATGAATTTTCATCAAGATTGGACAAAAAATGACTGAGTTATGAGCCAAAAACCATATGACCATATTTGGGCATACGCACCAAATTTGATCGATTTTGGCCCATAAATTGGTCAAATATCAATATTTTTGAATGAAACCAACTTTATATGGAAGATAAGCCTATACTACAGATTCTCTATGATTATCAGCTCAATATCTACCTAACTGTGGATTCTGTGTTCAAATAGTTGCAAAAAATGAACAAAATCGCCCATATCTCAGTTCGCGATATTTGCAAAACTGACTTCGCTCAAAACAATAGAACTCAATAGGGTTTCAATATTTTTTCATGAAATTTTCAGAATCAACGTAGAATCGCCTCATGACCTTAAGTTTTGTATTAGAATTTTGAGTTAGGCCTTTAAAAAAATTTGGCGGCCAAATTCTGAAATTTGCCGGGCATTTTTCAGAATTTGGCCGCCAAATTTTTTTAAAGGCCTTACTCAAAATTCTAATACAAAACTTAAGGTCATGAGGCGATTCTACGTCGATTCTGAAAATTTCATGAAAAAATATTGAAACCCTATTGAGTTCTATTGTTTTGAGCGAAGTCAGTTTTGCAAATATCGCGAACTGAGATATGGGCGATTTTGTTCATTTTTTGCAACTATTTGAACACAGAATCCACAGTTAGATAGATATTGAGCTGATAATCATAGAGAATCTGTAGTATAGGCTTATCTTCCATATAAAGTTGGTTTCATTCAAAAATATTGATATTTGACCAATTTATGGGCCAAAATCGATCAAATTTGGTGCGTATGCCCAAATATGGTCATATGGTTTTTGGCTCATAACTCAGTCATTTTTTGTCCAATCTTGATGAAAATTCATATACGAGTTCAGGGGACCACTAGCTACAAGTAGAGCACCTAAAATCTGGGTTTTGGGCATGTTCAGGGTATTTGGCTAAATTGGGCCTAATTTGGATCAAATATGGGCGTGGCTGCCCCGCAGGCACCGTTTGGCGGTTGGGGTCCGGGACCCCCTCAAAAGTTTGGTCACCGGTCCTAGTTTGTTGGTCAACTGCTATCTCGAAACTAAGTTTCACAAAAAAATCAGGGTGAACCCCCAGCCTTAAGCTAATTTCCTTTAAAGTTCTTCTAAAAGCTTCTTGAACATAAGAAATACCGTGCTTCATTGTTATGTGATCTATATTCTATAATATGCTGATTACTGATTAAGATTGTTACACTTACAATTCAGAAAAATGTGTACATCAAATGAGAGTCTAACCGTCTTCTCATTTTAACTTCCTCCGTGCAAAAGTTGCTAGAACTCTTAACTGACATGTCAGAAATGAGAAACATAAGTCGTCTTATGATACAAACACTATAAAATAATAAAAGTTTCACGTTAAGTAGCCAGCTTAATTTAACCTTGATCGGTTGCAGACAATTCTTGGAATTTGGATTGTGGATATAGACTTAATTTCACTTTTAAGTGTATAACCGCTAATTAGGTACCTGATCAGATATGATCCTAAATTTGGACCGCAGCCAGCTGGATCCTGATTAGACGCTACGGTACACAGTTATAATTATATCGTTACTCATGATTTAACATTCCTGATGCTACCAAGTACCGACCATAGTCGTTAATGTTTGCCTTGTTGTGGATTGGTATCAATCACCAGCAAAAATGTGCTGGACTGATCAAATTACACCAAGAACCGAAATCACTTATATTTTTGTGTGTCTGTTCATGGTAGCGAGATTGTAACTATTATACTTGCACAGAGAAAGTCACGGCGCACTCAAAAAAGCGTCCTCACAAATCGCTGGGGTCACTTCTGTTTGTTGCTTTTTGGAAGTCGCGAGTAAATTTTACTTTTTAAAAGTTTTTACAAGGTGTTTGAAGCCATCTTTAGGTCTAAAGAGATGAGATCTTGACTAGCACTTACCTGAAAGGGTCGTATCCAATGCGTTTTTCTCAGATTTTTGATATCTCACTTCATTTTTCCACAAGTAACCGAAACGTAAACGTCATTCTGGCGTACTGGCGATTACTCCTGCAACTGAAACAAGTACTGTGCGACACACGATAATCCTAGGATGTTGAGAGTTAGTATTTGGTAAAGCCCTAACGATACCTAAAACGATAGAGGCTAAAAAGTTTATGAATTCTTGAAAACTTGTCCCCAGGACTCTGTTGAAACTTAAAGTCGCGTGGTTCAATAACTTAAAAGTAACGTCGCCAACTACTAGCAAAAACGTGTCCCCACGCGCTAGGGGTGTATAACCTAATAGTAGGGATTGTGTTTTTAAATAAAGTTGCTGGTTGAGATCACTGGTACTCATCCCTTTTTCTAGGAGTGTTCAAAATTCGAATTTAATATACTTCCTACTTCGGCTGAATTCTGAGATTAGAGATATATATTATATATATTAGATAGCAGATACACATTGTCGTAATACGTATCTACTCATTTTAAGATTCAACCCAAAAGCCCGTGCTTACATCGTTTAAAGTAATAGTAATATCTTTAATCTGCACGTCGGAGACTTACATATTACACGTAATGGCATAAAATTGTTTTAATAAAAAAATAAAATTGTATTAACCCCCTGCGAAGACGATTTAGAATGAGTGACACAGAGAAGCTGATTAAACTATCTGAACCGTAAGTTAATAATAATAGCACGCAAATTTTGATGTTTAGAATACAAGAAGTTTAAAGTACAAAAATGAACCGCCTTTATTGCCGCCAACTACAAGCTAAGCAGTGCTGCACCCCGCCGCCGATGATTTTCCGGCGTCGGCGTGCAGCACTGCTGAGCATGTAGTTGGCTGCAATAAAGGCGGTTCATTTTTGTACTTTAAACTTCTTGTATTCTAAACATCAAAATTTGCGTGCTATTATTATTAACTATTATTATTAACTTACGGCGTGAACCTGTTTATACGTCGAATACCTATGCGCCGTTTCGTAATTTTTGCAAGAATTCTTTGAACGAAATCCAACATTTCAGACCATATTATTTTCTATATAATTTCTACACGAGTGGATACTGTAGCAGGCATCGCTAATGTCGATATTTTCCCGTTGATTCACACATGTTTAAGCAATATACTACGTCACGCTATAACCACGACACGTAACATGGAACAACGCACACGCGACCTCTAATTGAGTAACAATAACGCGGCACCAGTATTGTTTATCAGTAGATAGATTGTTTATCAGTTATTCTGATAGTTGATATCATTATATTAATTTATGTATACAATTTTTAAAAGCTCCGAACGCTTCTACTGTTATATGGGTATTTCATTTGTCTCAATCGTTTGAATATGCAACAGATACATTTTAGTGTATGAGTATATAAGCCATTTTCTTCTGTGAAAATGAACTCACAGATATTACCTCTACACATGGCATTATTCTAGAGGAAAATTTAATCTGCGACATCACGTGACCTCACGCCGATTACGCCGCCGCCGATTTTAACCACGCCGCCGCCGTTTTGAAAAAAAAACGGCGGCTTGCAGCACTGATGCTAAGAGTGATCCTTATTAAATTTATACAGTGATAGTTCTATTACTCCAAACAAAAATGTATTTGAAAATTATGCTAACGACTTCGTCGATAAGTTTTGCTGGTCCAGAGTTTGGTATGTTCCTGTACGCACATGATAAACTCGGTATTCTAGAATTCACATTTCGATACGCCCAACGGACAGTTAACTCCAAAATGGGAGGATAGAGAGGACATTTTATTAACTCCTCATGAAATTTCTTTTTTACGATGATTAACCTCCCAACTCTGAACCTAAAAGTTAAAACGTGCCATTACACTTATCTAATCTGAACCAAAGCTCTACGCTTACGAAAGGAAAAGCACAGACCCTAAACCAATCCGTAAAATTTGTTTTAAACGGCGAAGGAGTTATTTCACGTTACTGTTTGTTAATTTTGTAATTGTATAGATTTTTGTAAAATATTGTAGGTATTTCACAATATTGATAGTTACACAACAGATTATTTTTAACATTGTAAATTGCAGCGACGTAACGTACTTGTAGCGTCTTGTCCATGACAAAGGCGTGGGCCTAAACGTCGACAACTATTTGTTTGAAAAACTGAGTAGAGACTCTCACTTTGTCCCAAAACATCAATTATAATTTATATGATCGACCCACTCAAAAGAGCTAAAACAGATTATTATGGTGAAGGATAAAATTTGTAATAGCACGAAGCCTGCCCCTTTAGTACAGTATGTCTATACTAAGAATTGAATAAGTATAAGATACCAGGCAGACGACTTGCGAAAAAGTTTGTTGAGTAGTAGCCAGTACGTAAGTGTAAGATAAAGTGATAACTTACATCATCAGCATCGTTGACTCTGTCTTTTCCTGGCCGGTCATCGGGCATCTAGAATTATCAAATCTCCGTGAATGTTGAGTTCTCAAATTGTTTAACTGATGATTTCTCCTACTGGTTCATTAAAATCTACGGGCATTCAAGTGTTACTCAGCAGTCAACAAGATAACATAATTTCAGGCCCCGAAAATTTTCAAATAAAAGTATAAACAGATTTATCTACACAGCGAAGGAAATCGAATCCTAATTCTACTACGCGAGTAATGTATAACGAACATATTTTCCGCAGTTTTTTGAGCTGTTGACAGCACCGTGGAGCAGTGCCAAAATAACAGGAAACTATCTTGTAATGTACATACATGTCGACCAAACATTCGATAACAGTCTCACTTAGCAGTGTCCAAAACAAGGACATATAAACGACTATTTCAGAAAAAATACTTATATACCTAATTAATAATTTTGCTTTTTTATTTTACTAAAATATGAGTCTGAACAAATTGTGCAGCTGAGTCGAAATACTCAACAGAATTTTGCATTATTTAATACACGAATTGCAGGAGCGAAAGTACAAGACTGACGAATTCAGGGAGTTATGGAACCTTTATCTTAAAATGTGGAAGAGTGGAGTGCCCAACAAATATGTCGGCCTTTGAGCAGTGCTATCATTTGGTCAAGGTAAGCAAACGAAACTTCCAACCATATTTTAATTTTGATAACTAGTTTTTAACACTTCTGATTTCATTATTTTATTCACTGGCCAAAAACGGTCATTGGCAACAAAAGTACAACCGCTGCAATACTGTCCCTATCATTGAGAGGGTAAGAAAATCTAGGTGGATATTACTTCGCATGGATAGCAATGATTTGCACACTGTATATCGTCACGCATATTATATATATCGCCATATAGTAGAATGCCTTACGGGTATTTTCTGCTCGATACGCTAGGGACCCCAGATACTCCATATTTTTTTAGCAAATTAATTTCGTTGACATATCAGCAAAATTGTAGAACTAGCTGTACAAGATAGTATCTGTATGTCGATACTCGATATACAGTATGATTACCGTTTAAATTCCTAATATAAAGTAGCACCATAACAGAAAAGAAATCAAGAAGTGATAGGGACTTGTAACTTGGTGTGCACAAATTTCATACTAATTTTAAACTAATTAAATTTTAAACTTATTAAATTTTGAACTAATTATAACACTACAAATCTATTACATTTATTGAGAATTATGTAATGTAACGTGATGGAAATATTTTAAAAGGGCATATCCTGTCCAAACCCAGGATGCACTACATGAAGAATTCGTTGTAACTTTGTTTGAAAAGCATTAATACACATCACGATGAAAAGTTTTTAGGAACTGCTCCTTCATAAAATCGATAACTCAAGAACATAAAATTGGATTCAGGATACAATGAGTAGAAAATTTGATATGAATTTATGCAGATGGCCCAATTTGTCTTATGTATTTCCCATAAAATGTTTGAACGCTGATTCCTTATCATCCCAATTCCCACATGACATGGGGTTAAAATACTTCCCTGTGGCGAGTTATCAGCGAAAACTGATAATCGAGTGTAGAGTGATTATTCATCATCCAATATTTTAGGAAACTACAGTTTAAGATGAAATATCTATAACGCAAGGAAGAAAATACCTTAATTTTGGCAGCAACATAATCTGAAATTTATTAAAACCAAAATCGTACACGAAAACTTCTTAAACAATAGTTTATTGATCAGCCTGAGAAGAGCGAAGCAAACTAAGAAGTAAATAACGAACCTGGCAAGCAATATCAGAAGTAATAATTCTTAACAGTTCGAAAGAACGCAAGATGGCGATGAACCTACGTTGTTTAGACCAGAGCAGCAAGTACAGAACTACGGATGTGCTTGTTACTATGGATAGAGTTTTAAACGTGCATCAACCAGTACGAGACAATTGAAAGTCAACCGTTTCATCTATCACGTGAACAATATGAATACTCTGATCACATACTGAGTAGAAGATCATAGCAACTCACTGCAGTAGAAATGAACAGTACGGCAAACTGTGATACATAATCAGTGCTCGAGATGTATTATATACGATATCAACTAACAAAAGACAGCTTATAGCAGTACAGAATACTTACTCAACCTCAAACAATCGCTCATGTCACACATTATACACGTAGTGGAGACTCGTGCTTAGTACAGTACAAGATAACAAGCTTACTAATACTACTATACTAGGAAAACATTTACCCAAATCGGGCCCATTAAAATACCACTATTTACTCACACAATTCACAGACCATATCAGGGTTAAACTATGTTTTATTCAAGAGTAGATAAGAGCTGTGGTTACTCAAACAGTACACACACGATCGCACTGCAGCGGTATACACAGTACAACATGTACAGTGTACACAGTATACACAAGCTGGGCGCTCTACTTATTGGAGCTCTAATTTACAACGTTAAATGTATAATAGTTCTCTCCTGAATCTATAACGTCACACGTCACGAGGGTAGCGTTCTATTTTGGGATACAGCATGCGGACATTATGCCTCTTATGTATGTACTAGCTGTCATAGCTGTATGACGCGTTCATACCTTACACATCAATTTGGGCTGAAGTGTATTAATATAAACTGCCCGGCAGTTCAGTCAGCTCTCATCTTCACATTGTTTTAAAGTTAATAATTACTAGGAAGTTTGACGCTTTTTATCGTTTCAGGATTTGGGTGCTGGTAACGTACCACAGAGCGCTAAACGACCCACCAACCGAAGTGAGTAAACCAGCTTCATATGTGTTGTCTGGAAACTGTATAATGGCAGTTTCCAGGAGTATTTGTATGTGAGATGTTACAATGAACCAGGAGATAGAGTTATATATGATGACAGATTACTGAGATTAGTTGTGACTTTGTAGTCTAGTTAGCTCACATATTATATGGTTGTCATGGTGATTATTTGAAGTGTAGCTCTGCCAAAAATGCTAGTTTTATATTGGCAGATACATTTATGAAAGCTGTATGCATTAAATCTGTTGCAAACTATTCACCAGAGAAACCTTAATAATTTGACTACAGGACAAATGTTCAACATAATAATGTCAATTGTGCGTCAAAAAGACTCCAGTGCATACAAGAACACGTATGTATTTTCGAAGCAGCTTGACCTAAAATTTTCACACCTTTCAAAAACACGTCCCAAGTTAATCAGAAACAAAGGAATATTTAAATAACTACCATGTATATTGTATAAGACCGGTTTGAAAACGCGGGGTCTGAGATCGCAGCAATCAAATGTGATTTATCATAGCTTATACCTCGATGTGAGTACATAATATATGTATAGATGTATGTATATGTGGTATATGAAACGGTGGACAGTGGACAGGTTGTTTAAGATTGAGACACATTATTACGGATACTCCCATGTGTAGCCTTTGTAACACCTAGTTAGTATTTAGAAACTTTATTTCATATCTATCTTCATTGTAGTATTATTACTATTAGCTTCATTAAACTACTTGAAGACTTTATGAAAAGAATAGTCGATAGAAATTACAAAGACCCTACTAAAATTCATTTTATTGTCTGTAATCACGGTTTACAAACCGTGAACTACCTTAATATTGTTGCCAAGTGGTACATTAGTAAACGATTTCAGGAAGGGGAAATGCCGAATTGGCAGGAGGCAGAATAGGTCACAAAAGTTCTATCGATCTTGGCCGATGGGGGCTAAATGTCCACTACATTATTGTTATCTATTACTCTATATTACTTATTAGTTCTTGTAAATATCTTGTCGTACTACAAGTTTTTTGTAATACTGATACTTGATAGTTGGATAATATAAATAAATAAATAAATTCTAACATTTATTACACGCTTTGACATTAAAATATACCCAACAAAGATGTACATTTAAGTCATTCAAGCGAGATTTATTGTTGAAATACCAAGATTATGGACTTTTTTAAACAGTTCAGATTTTATGAACAAATATTTGTATGAAGTTACCAAAATTATGCACTTTCGTATCAGTTCAGACATTATGGACAAATATTAGAAATATTATCAAAAGCTAGGTGGAAATAAAACGTCTTAAGGGCATTTTTAAAACATTCTACAGATGATAATGATCTCAATGAGTAGGGTAGTTCATTCCAAATTTTTTCCAAAAACATAAATGCAGCATCTGTTCGTCTGAAGTGAGGAGCAGGAGGAACTTTAAACAAATAAAAGTCATCATCTAGTCTGGAACTTCGTCTTCGTACTTCCCTTAGATTGATGTGTCCTTTTAAGTACTGAGGGGCTATATTATTAAGACACTTGAAAACCAGAAGTGATATTTTGAACTTGATTCTGAATCCGGTCGAAAGAGACAAGGACAAATGAAACAGGAAGTTAGGAATGTAGGCAAATTTTCGGCGTCAACACCATCTTCAGACTCAAATTATTTGTTATATAGTAGTGTTGAAAGTATTAAAACAGTTTTTTGTAGTACAGGTCCAGCTTCCAGCTTCCTACAAATATTGTATAACTTTCTCCCCTAAATACACCCTCTTCACTCACTTCACTTCACATCATATCATTTTATTAATAACATGTCACTTATTTTTTCAAAACGCAAAATATTGACTATTGACCTAATGAACCGACACCAAATATTTCTTCAAGACACGTTGGTAAATCGATTTTTAGACAGATCTGTCTGTACTAATACTATACAGACTTCTATACGTGTGATCATAATGGTTATTGGTTAAGTTTAACCCATTATCGCCTGGGCTGGAAGGTCGTGGTACTAGTTGTTGTGGCCGATACATTTCCATTAATTTATCAGGATTGTTTTTCTGATTGCTTTCCTTAGAATTTGTCCGATTTGGACTTGGCAGGGGGCTCGTGAGGGGTGAAGGGTCCGATATAATAAGTACAACCCGAATCCAAATAGTCGATCCAAATTTGAATTTATCATAAAGTGAAGATCAATACTTTTATAAAGACAACTCAAAATTGTATTTGATATATATATGAATCAAATCTACTATCAGTGTCCACAATGAAGAAGGTAACTTTGTTGCCACAGATGCTGGTAAAGCTCAAGTGATCAGAGACTACTACGAAAAGCAGTTCACGTGTGAGGATGAACCACTTCAAGCATTTATAGGGGATGGACGCTGCCTAGACATACCCATCACATGTGATGAAGTAAAGAAAGCCGCCCAATCTCTCAAGAACAACAAAGCCACTGGTCCAGATAAAGTCTACAACGAGTGGTTGAAAAATGCTGGTACAAAATTCTGGTCAAAATATGCCGAGATCATCAATAACGCATTGGAGACCAATTCATTTCCTGATGTTATAGGTGAAGCCATCATCACCCCCTTGCCGAAACCTCGCAAACCAGCCGGTCCTGTCACTAGTCTACGACCTCTATGTCTATCAAATGGTGCTCGTAAGATATTATCCATGATTGTACTGAAGAGAATCGAAGACAAAGTTGATGCTTTCACTGGTAGCACGCAGGCGGGGTACAAACATGGTAGGAGTTGTGGTGATCTAGTGTGGGCTGAGCGGATGTTGATATCGGTTGTCACGCGTAAACACTTCCAGTATCACAAGATGGGCATAGATATGTCTCGAGCATTTGACACAATCAAACGCCAGACAATACTTGACCTCCTTGTCAAAGCTGGATGCACAGACGACGACCTCAGGCTAGTAAGACTCCTCTTAACCAACACCATGCTCAAGGTCAGAGTGGAAGGAGAACTATCTGCAGTATTCGAGAGTCTTCTTGGATCCTTTCAAGGCGACAGTCTCTCCGGCAAGCTTTTCACTCTTGTCCTTGCAGGAGCTCTTATAGAACTACGCCATCGACTAGCAGAATCTCCCCCACACATACCCAATCCCCCTGTTTCAAAAGAAGGTATGCCACTGGAGTCAGCGTATTCAGATGATTGTAACTTCATGAACGTGGAAAAAGAATCCTTAGAAGCTATCCTACCAATAGCCAAGGAAGTCTTCAAGGAGTTTAACCTGTTCATTAACACAGAGAAAACAGAATTTACCCATGTTTTCCTCGCTCCTGTTGGAGAAACAATCCCTAGTCGTGATGATACCATGTTACGTGGAAATGAAGATTGGCGGAAGAGTAAGATTCTTGGGTCATTGTTGTGTAGTGAAAGTGATATAGCTGCTCAATGCATTGCTGGGAACAATGCCTTCTATAAGTTCACCAAGATCTGGTCTCAGCAGAATATCTCCGTTACCAGAAAGATAGCAGTATACGAAGCCCAAATTGTATCAATCATCATGTACAATTGCAGTAGTTGGTGTCCTACTGCAAAGTCACTAGAAAAACTAGACATTTGCCATAGAAAACACCTTAGATCATTACTGAACATTTATTGGCCTCATGGAACAATATCTAATGCAAACTTATACCTAAGATGTAACTCAGTAAAGCTATCAGATCGTGTCCCTAAAGCAAGGTGGAAGCTCCTAGGTCATATCTTGCGTAGTGCTGATGACTCCCCCGCTGCATTAGCGTTAAAGTTTGCTGTCACAACAAACTGTAAAGGGCGCGTCGGTGCGCATCGTAAGAATTTGTTCAAGATTATTGTGAATGATTTGACCCGTAGAGGTTTAAAACTTAACTCTTTGAATGATCTTAATAAGCTTAAGATATTAGCTGATGATAGAGTTGCTTGGAGAAACAAATTTTAACTCTAGCTGTCCTGATCTGTATTGATCACCATTTTAGGATGACTTGACCTCTTTTAGGGGTTTTGAATATTTTAATGGTGTAAACAGTTTCTTAATAATATGAATCAAATACAATTTTGAGTAGTAACTAATAAGTTACTGACCTAACAGACGGAGAGCTTTGTTGTGCGGATGATTCTCTTATTCTCTGATCATCTTGACCCAATGCGAATATATCCTAAAAATAGTTATGCGTTGAGCAAACTTAAGGGAACATCAAGTACAAACAATTTAACTCTTCAAGTTTTGGCTTTTGCGGTAAAAGAATAAAACACGTTTCGATGCAAAACCAAAAACGATATCAAGTTTTCTGGGGCGATATTGAAGAGAATCGGCTTGAAATTTCACTGTTCAGAAAAGAAAACTAACCTAATTTATATTAGACTGCTATCATGCGGGAAATAACTGCTTTTAAAGTTAGGTCTTAGTTTTTGGTACTTTTTTTTTTTATCTCACACTTATTTTACTTCGGAGTATTCCAACAGCCACATTGTTACACAAGTGTAACTAGCCAATTACAGGAAGCCGAAGGATTTAATTAGGCCAGTGACGGTTAAGGTAGTGTGTACCATACTTTCTTCGCCCGAGACTTCGCTGCAATGGACAGCTTCTCATTTAACCCTCACACACGATTTCTCGAGTATTCGGCTGAGTAGACCGGGGGGCTGCATAGACCACTCAGGATCTTTAGCTGAATGTCGACGACACTCACCCCACGACTAGGCAGGCAGTGGGTTTCGAACTCGCAATCTCACGATTACAAATCCGATGATTAACCAACTACGCTACCTGGCCGTGAAAAAAAAAAAAACTTGATCATCGAACTCACGAGAAGTAGATGTAAAGAGTTCATGGCACTGATAACGGAAGCGCTAGCCGCTAGCTATGACTGATGACAGTTCCTTTAACGATATCGCAGACATTTCGAAATTTCAGAGCTTTTGGAAAGATTATTCCAGCAGGATACTATGAAAAACAAAAGAAACCGACAATTAATAAAGTGAGGGAAGTTATTACAGTTCAGAGCGTTCCCGAGCTTTCAATTTGATTGGTGCGCCCGAATCACCACGGTTGTTCTGATTGGATCACTGCGTGGTCACGCGCTTGTTTTGCTCGGTCACGTGCTCGTCCTGCGCGGTCACGTGCTCGCCCTGCGCGGTCACGTGCTCGCCCTGCGCGGTCACGTGCTCGCCCTGGGAGCCGATGAGCGTAGAAAATCGAAATAACGACCTTACATAGTGAACCAATTAGCATCGAGAAAGTTTATCACGTGATTCTTTACAGCATATTTATATAAAGGATTCAAGTAAGATAACAAAGGGCCGGTTGCCCCAGTATAAGATAAGAGAGTGCACGTGACCTCTTGTAAACCAATCAGCATCAGAATGGGGTAGTTCGTATCGACGATTATCATCATGGTTGTCGCACTTTATCTGTGTTTACTTTGTCATAGTCATAGAGCAACATCTTTCCCAAGATACGGCTGTATAATTAAATACCGTAAACTTTTAATCTTTCGAAGCTTAGAAAACTCTTTGCCACTCATGATTACCTTACGAGACATATTAATGTTCGACATAATTCCGGTGACATAATTCGACATAATTCCGGTGTAAATGATTTGGGAGCGAAAATATGGTAATTTTTTCCCAAAAATCGCCATGTTTCGTACCCCAAATTAGATCATGGTATTTGGGGATTTTTTTCATCTCCTTATTTTACAAAAATGAAACCCAATATTTGAGAAAATTAAATACAAAGATCCTCTCTGATAAGCTGTTTCATCGGAGCCTCAACTTAACTCATCTTACTTTTAATCATAGTGGAACATGTCCAAAATCATTTTAAAAGCAATTCATGATCGAACACTAGTGTTCATTTGTTTGATAAATCATATATTTATATATAACTTACTATATTGATAGTAAATCGATAAAGTCATAATTAAGGAGATTACGTGACAAATAATTTGGGGAAAATAATGACGGTTATTTGACCGGACATTGTGTGAACGGACACAATTTTGAACGCACATTAAAATGAACACTAGGCCTCAAGCGTCCAATTAATGTCCGTTCAAATAAAGTCCGATAAGGTATGCAAGACTGGTACAGTTTCAAATCAAATTTGACCATTTCTAGGGTCAAATGTTTTGTAATAGAGTCATGATCAGATAAAAGTTTGATTAACATCTAAAATGAGCACTAGCAGAGAAAAGAATAAAGGACTAAAACACTGTTTATATGTTGTATGTTAGTGTTAACTGTTATATACATAATAGGGTGATTCAAAAATAATGTTGGGATTTTAATTTCGTATATTTTTATAATCTAAACATGCAAACATGGAGTGAGTTTTTGATTTATCTCATATAAATTGTGGCCATTTGAAATCCCAACAATCTCTTTGAATATCATGTGATATTCAGTACACTCCTATGGTGTATTGATGAAACTGACAGTAACTTTACAGATTACCTACTGGACATTCCGGACCAGCACTGCCACGGACCGCCCGATCACGGTAGTCAGGACAACACCGCCAGAAACAAGCTCTTGTGGGCGGCCGCAGTTTGTTTCCTTTTCACTATTGGCGAAGCTGCAGGTTTGCATTATAGTGATAGAAAAGGGGAGGGGCTGGTTTCAGAAACTGGCTATGAAAACTATGCAAGCGAATTAGAATATTTTCGAGCAGTTCTTTCGCCATATTCTTAAACCAGCTCCCATATATAGCTTTGATCTTCATTCCTTGCTTAGCTGACGAGATGCCATTATAGTATTTTATTAAAATATTTAGCTCATGCCGTTGTCAAACACCAATATTCCTTTATCTTTGACTTGAACAGTAACCATGGTAACCCCGTCAACTCTCCAGGTGGTTTATTGGCCAACTCCCTCGCAATTATGACAGATGCTTCCCACATGTTGAGCGACTTTGCCAGTTTCCTCATTTCTCTGTTCGCTCTGTGGGTAGCAAGACGACCTGCAACTCAGAAGATGTCATTTGGATATTACCGAGCTGAAGTGATGGGGGCAGTCTGTTCTGTGCTCATTATTTGGGTACTAACCGGTAGGTTTTACTTTCTGGTGCTTGTTTTATTTTTCTTGATACAATCTCATGAATGTGTCGATCACTCTTATTGTAAGGTTATGGTATTTTTTTTCTCAAATATTTAATTAAGATACTTAGGAATGGGAGGAAAAGCAAAATTGTGCAAAATATCGAAGAATATCAATCCAAAATAATATTGCACAGGTGTGTTGGCGTACCTGGCCATAGAACGAATGATGAACATGAACTTCTCCATTAACGCAGACACTATGCTGATAACTGCTGCCGCTGGAGTCGCTGTGAATATCATGTGAGTTTATGGTTTCACTTTTGACCATGATCTTATCAATATCAACATCAAATCAGACTCAATTACTCAATGGTAATTAATCACTGCTCCCATAAAATTACTGTTGTACACGTACAGGCTACATGGCGTGGCCCAGGACTTACAATAATTACTCAATGAGGCTCGACTGCAGAGGATATTCTGCTGTTAATATGCTACTCACAAAATATCATTCACATGACACATTCCACCTGTCAGTTTATATCCCATTATTGTTACCATCGTTCGAACTTCGGTAAACCGTAAAAGTTACTGCTCACATCACCATAGATATAAGATACCTTTTAAAAACAAGGGCACAGTATGTTTTTTATCATAACCCACTCTCCAGTCAGTATATAATGTTCACTATTAATTGAAACCCTCACTTCTCAGTATGGGATGTGTGTTGCAGCAAAGTGGGCACGGGCATTCTCATGGTGGTTTGAGTAGTAACCATGGTCACAGCCACGATGAAGAGGATGGGGGACACGACCATGACGGGAAGAAAAAAGTTAACATCAACGTGCGCGCGGCGTTCATACACGTCCTGGGTGATCTGGTGCAGAGTATTGGTGTTCTTATTGCAGCTGTTATCATCAAAGTGCAGGTTCGGGGATCACCCAATCAATACATTAAACTTTCTATCTAGAATAATTTTAATGATCATTTAGTTCGAATTGCTGACAAAAATTAACTTACTTCGGGCAGGAATTGGTAGGAATGATAAAGTGCTGTCTTATAATAATTTTGCCGTAATTCTTTCAACCAATCCAATTTCAGCCCACATGGTTGATAGCGGACCCAATCTGTACGATCCTTTTTTCGGTAATTGTGCTGTGCACAACCCTTGCCATCCTCCGGGACGCTTTGCATGTTTTAATGGAAGGTAAGATTGGTACTGATTTTCCGGGAAAAAATATAATCTAAGATAAAACATGAATTCGAAATTTCGGAGTTTCAATCAAGCAGATTTACCCGGACGTGTTCTCTGTGTCCCTAGCGCTCGCCTTTAGCGGAAACGACAGGTCGAAACTTTAAAACTGGCTTGCTGTTGAATATATTTTAAAGCTTTTATTCTAATATTATTATAAACTTCGCATCAGCTGATTAATGGGCGTCATTGACATGGTCATTAAGCACGAAATCTCCAACATGCAATCAATCTTAACTGCATGATTTTAAATTTAAAACAGATTTTGCTTTCAAGTTAGAGTTTAAAGTTTAAACTGAACTTTCGAAAAAGTCGATTTCTAAAAATAAGCACACACATACGGGTTATCTTTAACAAATAACGGATGATGTTGTAAAATTAAACTTGAAATTTTACAGTAATTAGACTTTAAATAAGACTTAACACTAACAGTAATGTTCGCCCTAATGGAGCAGAACCAGTCATTATTTCAGTTATTTGCAATTATATCAGCAGGGACAACTATGAGTGACTAATTAGCCAAAATTTCACAGGATTCCCTCGAGATATAAGCTACCCTAACCTGGTGCGGGATCTCCAGAATATACCAGGAGTACAGATGATCCACTCACTGCACGTGTGGAGTCTAACTGTGGATAAGAACGCATTATCAGTTCATCTAGCAATGGGTACGTAGTACGTCCTGTTATACGCGGTATACTTGGCACACATACCTGCAAAGCAATCGGGCGGATCTCTGAATTAATTTTCCGCTTGGGTAGTGGTCGTGTTACGTCTGCAGTTTTAGCAGAATATACCCCACTTCCTGGCTGTAATTTAAGGGCTATTTATAGCTGCCCGCCCTGGTCCACACCCTGTATTATAATAGTACACTTTCTCCCAGAACAAGACGCCAGCCCAGAAGACACGCTCATCTACGCCAACAAGATGCTACGTGAAACGTACGGGATCAACCAAACTACCGTCCAGGTGGAGAAGTGGCAACCTGTCATGGAGAACTGTCACTCCTGCCAGACACCGACACAGTAGTGAACCAGTGCTGTGTAGCTGGCAGCTCCACCCAGTCTACATGTCTAGACTTCAATTATATCACAACTTGCTCTCTAGATGCTACTGTGAGAGCTTTCAGAGAGGAAACTTTTGAGCTACGGAATAAGAAAGCTGAGAGGTATTTGAATCCAGTGAACTCTCTTGAATGTTGACGATCAGTCTTACCCATATGTGATAGCTTCGGTAGAAAGATGGATCGGAAGGGATATTAAAAAGTTCCATTTATGATCACTATGAGCTGGAAATTCTTCAAGCTCCTGTAAAAAGCCTGGTTTACCTTACCACTTTACCAGGTTTAACTTGTAACGGAGAGATTTTCCAAATAATATTGATCATAGATATCAAATTTCAAACCCATATAGCTATTACCGATGATATCACATATGGTTCACTTTATACTTATGTATTTTCCCAATGTACATTGTACAAGCATATTTTTTTATTACATTTTATAATGTTTCTATTTACTTTTTCGTTTAAAATAGGAGATGTGGCAATTTGAGCAAAACCAATTCAATAATTCGCCGTGTGAGTGTGACTGTGATCAAGGAAAGGAAATGTTTTACAGTTCTTGTTCATATGTTTCGTATTAAAAAGGACGTCTGAAATTTCTTGAATCGTTACTGATCCTATTTTGCTTAAAATGCAGTCGTGGCACAATATCTTGATTATTTGCTGATTTATAAAATCACTTAATGTCATTAATAACGTATTTTTAAATAATATTTCCAATTTTAACCAAATTTCACTAATCTTTTGTCGTCCTTGAGTCGTTCCTTACTCGTATTCATTGCTATAAGAAAACGGTCGTCGCTATAAATATCACAGACATAAGAATTGTCCGGATATCAAATCTCGAATTCGTCGAAACATCAGTGTTTAATTCCACCAAATTCCTCTCTTAAAAGGTGCATTAAAGAATTCATTACTCTATAATTAGATATTAAACAAAGTCCATTACCCAAGGCCGTGACATCGGAGAGTGTTGCAGATTTACGTTTTACCAATAAATCTAATCATCATCTCATGAGGCAGATGATCTTGGCATGAACGGTAGGAAAACTAAGAAGTTCCGCTGTGAAATACTATCCGGGAGATCTGAGCGTGATGCAATTTGCTGCGCTGGCGAGATACAATTGATGATTTAATGGTTGGCTCCATTGAGCTTATATCCGCAGGAAATGAGCTTAGCGGATGCGGTTAATAAGATCCATGTTCTGTGGGTGTTACGGTTAGGGGTCCCTCACTTAGTGCACGTGACACTAGATGTTTAACAGGTCAGGGGACTAATCAGCCCCGATACGTCCAGCGACATTCTCCCACTAGCACCGTCACGTGACCCACCCCGCGCTATATATTTGAGGAAACGCAATTTGTGGAGCTAGTTCTGCTCACAAAACGTTTGGTAACCAGACTAATTACTGACCAACAGTTCCTCTTGGTTGCATGTATTTTTGCTTGGTAGTAGCCCTAAGAAATCTGTACCCAACTCGTTCCAGATGAGTGGACTCAATATCGCCCTCTTCTTCATCGTCTCCTCGCTCGTAACATCAGGTTTCTTTTTGCTGAATTGCTTTGTTTTCAGTTTTTGTAGTTGAACTATATTCAAAACAGGATGCAGACATTTTCTGCAAATTATAAATTTATTACGTTATGTGTTAGTTCGTCTAGCAATTCCTCGGAATTTCATGTGAAATTTGGTTTGAAAAGAAAATGGTTGATTATTCCACCTCAAACCTGGCACCGACAAAATCAGGGCATCCTGTTTATATTGACAAATTTCAGTACAAATTGAATTTCTTTCACCGATCTATTCAATTATTGACAAATGAAGAAGCATACTTCCTTGTTTGCATAGCTTTCTCTAAGAGGTTGTCTAATTTTTCGATAATTTACTTTTGGCCATCGGCTGCCTTTTCATTTGGCCATAAATCTATTAAATTTCAAGATTTTACAAAATTCTCGTATGCTTGTACCCACTCCCAGTAACATTACAATTTGTAACACGGGGGAAAATTATCCGTTACTTAAACATACTATGATATAATGATCCCGGTTCTATTAGAAACGGCGATAGTAATTTTATCACCAAAGTTCAAACCACCAGTGTTTTCTAAAACAATATGATTCAATTGAGAAGGGGGTTTGAACCGGAAATTTGGGCCTAAGTAATAGGATACATTATAGAGCAAATCATTAATCGCAAACATGATCCTACTTTTAAAATTCGAGTAAAAATGTATCGTCGAATTGCAATTTTTTAGTGAGGTAACATAAAAGAACTTTGGGTAAACGGTGCATTTATTATTCAATAGTATTCTGTTGAAATTGAATCAGAAGAGGCTCAGCAAACAGATTTACGCATAACTACTTGTTGGAGATTTGCCAAAAACCATAATTCATAGAGAATCCACGGGAGCTTATTTCCTAGGGCCTCTCATTTAACGTAGCTATATTATTTAAACCATAGAACTTACTACTGGCAAATTGGACATAGTACAATTCAGGCCACATAACACGAGTGATACAGTACATTGAAACTTTGTACTCAAAAGTTCGGATAAATGTAAGGTGAAATTTGCCTTAGCATCGACGGAGATATGTTAAAATTGATTAACAAATTTTATGAAACTATACTGTTGTAGGTAACCAAGCATCAAATTCTGAAAAACAGTTGGTCCGATGCTTGGTGTTTTGAATTTACTCTGGGTATGAAGTTATTACTCAAAGCTAAAATTTCCTATTTTCAGAATCTGATGCTTGGTTCCACAAACCAAGATGTCCCCCAAGAGACCCCAAGTGTAACTCGTATATGGGTCGTGACGTTAGTAAGCGCCACATCGTCAGTTTCCAGGATATGAACCACCTGGGTCCCACAGTGCCGCCCCTCGGAGACCTCGCTCCGGACAGGATCATTTACAATAACACTAACAGAAGGCTCCGACACAGCAAGCGAGCTCGTCACGATATCAGGTGAGAGAATGGAGGTTTAATCTGACCTTATTTTTGAGTTGGAAATACCCAACACTAAACTCAGGCCGTACTCAATTAAATGAAGCCCTCGGTAAAAGATTTTCATGGATAGTCCACATTTTATATATTTCAGCTACACCTTGATATCAGCTGACTATAGTTTCCGTGTCACGTGTCTAAACCACTTTATTTCAGGTACCGAAGCAGGTTACAGAGATATCGGGACAGATTCAACAGCTAGAGTGATAGTCACCATGGTACCCTCTGTAGCGACACCGTAGTAACGCAGCTATTCACTTTCAGCGTGTGCTGTGATCATATTTGTGCATTTTTCTGTACAGCTCTTTGTAGACTTGTGCCAGCAAATTTAGCTGGCAAATCATATGTCATAGTCTGAACACTATTATTTGGCTTGAGATCAGTTGTAGAGGCAGATAGACAGACTTGATAAAAGAACAATTGTTCTGAATAAAACTTTATACACAGATACACTTTAATAGCTAGGTATAGGATTAAATCTTCATGTTATAGCATGCTTATTACTTCGTTAATTTCGTTTGCAATTATTATAATTATATGTTAAATTTGGTCAACAAGACAAGGTAAAGTACAGCTCTATGATATTATTACATTTATGTTTAAGCTATCATATAGTATAAACAACTTAGTTTTTCTGTAACAGTGTCAGTGTAACTGATGATGATAAATAGTATTTTTTGTAGATAGTTTTCCAGAACATCCCTTGAAGATTTCTTTAAAGATTTCGTCAAGAATCTTTCATAGGAGACTTCTCGGACTTTAAATTTCCACTAAAAGTATTGTAGCTTATTTTTCGATGTTAAATTTAAAGCAAGTATTTTATCTTAACTAAAATTTAATTAAAATTTTGAATTAAAAGGTTATACTGTACAAAATTCGAATTTTTATATTTGATTATGGTCTTGTCGATTGCAGAATATATGATTGTATCTGAAGATAATTAACTGCCAAAACTGTATTGTGGCAACATATCTGTCGTGAAGTTTTAAAACGAACTTTGGCAAAGAAGCGAAGATAAACAGCAAACTAAATATTTTTGTCGTTTTAAAGCAAGCCTTCATGGCCTTATTGAAAGAGGGCGTTTCCAATGTATAATATTTATTTTGTTATCTGAAAATACATTTTATCTAACGCTTTACATAGCAACTAGTACATTACTTTTAATGCACAGAACTGATGTAAATGATACGATTACGCCAAATACTCTCTTAAAGAACCAATACAGTAGCCTTAAATAAATCATAAATTCAAATTCAAAAATCATATCTCGGTAGATTGGACCGCCAAAATATAAATCATATGTTTTTCATCCTAGCACATAATTTCCCAACAATTTAAATTTAAATCTATAGATCAAAGTCTGTGCCTTAAATTGTATTGAGCTTCATCGAAGACTGCCGCTAGGTAGGGTCGCTATTTTTAGCGACCTTTTGTACTACTACTGGTAGTACCAGAACCATATTAACATTTAGACTTTGAGATCCAAAAATTGTGGTGTTGCTCAGCATGACTGGGGTACAACAACATGACCGGACCTTATCTGAATTATAGAAGTTAAAAATTTAATGGAAGTTACAATGTGTGTAATGAAATTACATACAGCTCAACAGCTGCCATACAATCATTTATTCTAGCTTTTACAACCGTTTAAGGGGACTTATACAAAAAGCTTTTATGTCCTGACCATGCTGTTAACTTCATATTAAGAAAGTATACATGAAAACAATAAGATTTGATACATTAAAAATTATTGATGAGGGTACTCACTTTCGAAATAATAAATATTTTCTTTTTCGAAAGTTTTGGAAATTTTGAGAAGTCTGTCACTGTAATACCGATTTTTCAGTAATTTTAAACGTTTTTTTGCTGATTTTTTACTGAACATTATTTACAATCCGTACAAGAAGCCCTTAAAATGATTTTATAATTAAACAATAAATGACGAAGTTACAGACCAAATAAGGTCGAGAAAAGCAAAATTGAAATTTTTGCAAAAAATCAAAGTTGTATATTTTACCAATCACCCAGGTCATAAGATATCGCTTCAAAAATTTTTTTGAGTGTAGCTGATGATCATATCCAACCTTTTGGAACAGCATTTCTCTCAATTTTGAGTTTTAAGGTATCAAATATGGCCTCAAACGACTTAGTAAAATTCATCGCAAAAAAGGGCCAACAATGGCAGATTTAAGGCGTAAAATGCCTATAACTCAAAAATGTCAGTCTTTTTGAAATAGTTTTCTCAGAATCATAATCAGCTTGATAAGACGAATCTTTTAGTGCCAAATAGGTGATTTTAGAAGACAAATTGCCTTAAATAATTTTTTAGCTCGAAATTGTATAAATTTTGTATAATTTTTTAAACAAATTTTGTGTCTTTAAGTATTATAAATTTGGTACTTAAAGATTCGTCTTACCAAGCTGATCACGATTCTGTAAAAATTATTTAAAAAAAACTGATATTTTTTTAGTTATAAGAGGCATTTAACGCCTTAAATCTGCCATTGTTGGCCCTTTTTGCGATGAATTTTACTAAGTCGTTTGAGGCCAGATTTGATACCTTAAAACTCAAAATTGAGAGAAATGCTGTTCCAAAAAGTTGGATATGATCATCAGCTACACTCAAAAAATATTTTGAAGCGATATCTTATGACCTGGGTGATTGGTAAAATATACAACTTTGATTTTTTGCAAAAATTTCAATTTTGCTTTTCTCGACCTTGTTTGGTCTGTAACTTCGTCATTTATTGTTTAATTATAAAATCATTTTAAGGGCTTCTTGTACGGATTGTAAATAATGTTCAGTAAAAAATCAGCCAAAAAACGTTTAAAATTACTGAAAGATCGGTATTACAGTGACAGACTTCTCAAAATTTCCAAAACTTTCGAAAAAGAAAATATTTATTTTTTCGAAAGTGAGTACCCTCATCAATAATTTTTAATGTATCAAATCTTATTGTTTTCATGTATACTTTCTTAATATGAAGTTAACAGCATGGTCAGGACTTAAATGCTTTATGTATATCAAACATGGCAAACTTGTTCCAACCTCTAAAAATTACGGTAAATCGTGTTGCCAATGACATTGTCCGACGTTTTTCAAGTTCATATTACTTAGGTAGGTAATGCACACTTCATGTGGTAATTAATCAATTTAATGCCAACTGCCACTTGTCGTGACCGTGCACTGGTGTTGTCACTGTTAGGCCACACAGCGTGGGGCTAAGTTGTTACTAGGTGTTACTAGGTGTTACTAGGAGTTACTAGGTGTTACTAGGTGTTACTAGGTGTGAATAGGTGTTACTAGGTGTTATTATGTATAAATAGGTGTTACTAGGTGTTACTAGGTGTTACTAGGTGTTACTAGGTGTTACTAGGTGTTACTAGGTGTTACTAGGTGTTATTAGGTATTGCTAGGTGTTAGTAGGTGCTACTAGGTGTAACAAGGTGTTACTAGGTGTAACTAGGTATTACTAGGTGTTACTAGGTGTTACCAGGTGTTACTAGGTGTTACTAGGTGTTACTAGGTGTTACTAGGTGTTACTAGGTGTTACTAGGTGTTACTATGTGTTAATATGTGTTACTTGGTGTGACTAGGTGTAATTTGTTTGCATTTTATATTAGCATGAGGATATTTCAGTCAAATTGAAGAAGTTTATACCGAACAATTGTCTAACGTATCTAAAAATTACTATATGATATGATGTATAATATAAATAAATCGATCTTGGACAATTTTCTGCTTCAACAACTTCATGACTTATTCTAATGTCACGATTGTAATATAATCAATTACGAGTCGTATATCTAATCTGATTTCAATCTTCCGACCAAGTCCACTCTACAGTCCGCTCTCAAATTTCTAACCGCTCTAAAATCTGCATGTGGGTACCGCTCTAGAGTCCTCATAGTATGGGTCCGGTAAGGGAGTTCCGCTCTAGAGTCCTATCCTAGCGATTTGACTCCGCTCTAGGGTCCTACTTTCGAGGTGTAACTAGGTGTTATCAGGTGTTACTAGGTGTTACTAATACTAGGTGTTACTAGGTGTTACTAGGTGTTACTAGGTGTTACTAGGTGTTACTAGGTGTTACTAGGTGTTACTAGGTGTTACTAGGTGTTACTAGGTGTTACTAGGTGTTACTATGTGTTTCATTATGATTATTTCCAAAACTAAATTAATATATTGACAGTTATTATGTAGTACATAATCAATACCGAACATAATTTGTAAAATAATTGTATGATAATGCATGCTTATTTTAATTTACTGGGCGGCGCTCAGCCTGTCATTCCGCCGAATCTCTATGTTATATACACGTTTTTTATGTACGCTATAGCCTTTTTTATGTACATTATAGCCTTTTATATGAACATTATAGCCTGGGGTCCCCAGTTAATATGCTAATGTAACAGGGTATGTGAATTAAATACAATCCAAATTTGAAAACTAGCAGCTGTAAAACAACAAAATTTCTGAGGAGATATTCATGAGGGAATGGTGTCTATAATTGATGCTAATGCAGGGCAGACTATATTGTCTTTATAAAAGTTGTCTAATTTAAATTCGATAGACTCTTCATGAGTTTGTGAGGTCACTAGACCTGGTTTGTAGACCTGTACATTGCATTTACAAACCTCAGTTCAACTTGTGCAAGACTAGGCTTGGGAGATTTAATTAATATATGCAACTCTACAGATAATGTGACCCGCTGACTTGGACTTGGAGTATGTTTTTACTACATTTTATAATAACCGGGGGCTCCCTTGATCATCGATATAAATTTCAAAAGTAATCAAAGATTCGACATAGCTTAATATAGCGAAGGGGAGGACGCCAGCGTTTATCCATACAAATTATTATTATGACTAGAAAAGCCGTCGATTGCGGCTTTTTGGTATTTTATATCACAGTCACAAATTTCCAGATTTCGGTTTCAAAATATACAAAGTCTTAGTCATTAACAGGGTTGAAACTCCCAAAATTTTATTGTTCACTATCTTGGAATCAATGATTGTTTATTACGCAAAAAATTGTGAGATAAGGACCTTATCATAAGGTACTTACTGATAAGCGATGCTTATGCGAGAAAATACGGAAAATATGCAGAAAATGCCATATTTTTGGAAAATATGCCGTTATTGGCATTTCGTTTAGACTGGTAATGGTTTGGTGGTTAAGGGGTTTTCCAAACTCCAGGGGCTCGTGAAGTGTCTTACACAACCTCTCCGAGCCCAAGATCCGTAGTGCGTGGTGAAGAGCCACACCCTTCTCGAGGTGCCACTGTTAAGCTTAGTAGCCTGTTCTGGGTGATTCCAGTTAAAACAGGTGAACGGTAACAGAACACTGCGGCTCTAGACCAGTACAGGTCGAAAAATATAACCGGGACATCTGTCTCGTTAGGACTGCATGCAGTTCATCGGGTGCGAAGGGCCAGCATCCCTTCCACCTCAAATAACAACGCTACTGAAACAACACACACATCAAATGGACGGAGTGCTACTTCCAATTCAAGGACGGATGGTTCCAGCATGACGGAGGCTGGGCAAAGCCTACGGGACCCCAGTCGCCTGATGAGAAGAGGGGGTACTCGTCATCCGACCAGATTTATTAGTCAACAGATCATCCATGTTGACCCTGCTTCCAACAAATCCAATCCAGTAAATTATTGCAAACAGTTTTTACGTTTTGGAACATGGAACGTTCTATCTCTTGTCAGCTCATCTACACAGCTCTACCAACTTAGTCAAAACATTGATCAGTACAGATTGGATCTTTTGGGGATCACCGAGACTCACATGCCTGGATCTGGCACCACTCTACTGGACAATGGCAGTCTACTTATCCATTCCGGTAGAGTCGACGGGATCAAGAGACAGGGAGTCGGTCTCAGTCTTTCAAAACGAATCAGAAACTCCCTGATATCGTTCACTCCCACATCGGAGCGGGTTTTAACTGCTAGGCTGCATAGTAAGCAAATCAACATCTCTGTTGTTGTGGCCTATGCTCCAACTGAGGGTGCAGAGGAGAGTGAGAAAGATAAGTTTTATAGGACACTCACAGATACATTTGATGGGCTACCTCGTCACGATATCAAGTTACTGCTCGGCGATTTTAATGCAAAAGTAACATCAGGCAGATATGGAAGT